ATATATAGTAAATATAAATGTTTAAATAAAAAAAAAATTAAATCAAATATGTTTTAAATGTAAAAGTTTTAAAAATATACCTGAAATTGATTTGTGTATTTCATGGAGCCAGTTTAGTCAGTACCTGAAGTATTTAGTACATTATATATACTAATCATTATTAATCGTTATATTATACATAATGTTTCTAAAAGAAAAAAAAACCACTTTTCAAAAATTATACATACTGATTTTAAAACCTGTGCAATAGGAAACATATTTTTTGGGCCTTATATTAATTTTTAATTATATTATAGTCTAACCTCATTTATACATTACATTAATTATATTATTTTATTATAGTATAGTCTCATTAATTACATTATTATATAACTGGTATAATTTAATACAGTCCATGCTGTTGGTAAATTTTAATACCTTTTATGCTACTGTTAAATTTTAATACTGTTCATGCTGCTGGTAAATTTTAATACTGTTCATGCTGCTGGTAAATTTTAATACTCTTTGTGTTGGTGGTAAAAGTTTTAATAGCTTGGGTGCATTTGGTATAACCTAGTAGCTTTCATCTAGTTGGTATAATTGAATAGTGTTCAAGCTGCTGATAAATTTTAATACTGTTCATGATGCTGGTATAATTTAATAATTTTCATGCAAATGGCAACATATTTAAAATAACTTTTATGCAGTTGGTATAATCTAATAGCTTTCATGTACTTGGTGTAATTTAAAACTATTCATATTGCTGGTTTAAATTATTACCTTCAAGACTTCAGAATCATCAATACATTAATGTCCAAAAGATGAGTACTGGCTTCAGTGTCACTGATACATTAATGTCCAAAAAGTGAGACATTTAATGTCCAAAAATGTGAGTACTGGCTCCAGAGTCACAAATTCATTAATGTCCAAACAGTGAGTATTGACTCCAGAGTCACTGATACATTATCTCCAAAAGATGAGTACTGGTTCAGAGTCACTGATACATTAATGTCCAAACAGTGAGTATTGGCTCCAGAGTCATCAATACATTATTGTCCAAAAAGATGAGTTTGGCTTCAGATTCCCCAATACATTAATGTCCAAAAGATGAGTATTGGCTTCAGAGTCACTGATGCATTATTGTCCAAAAAGTGAGTTCAGGCTCCAGAGTCACCAATACATTAATGTCCAAAAGATGAGTACTGGCTCCAGAGTCACCAATACATTAATGTCCAAAAGATGAGTACTGGCTTCAGAGTACAATACATTAATGTCTAAAAGATGAGTACTGGCTTTTGAGTCACTGATGCATTAATGTTCAAAAAGTGAGTACTGGCTCCAGAGTTACCATTACAATAATGTTCAAAAGATGAGTACTGGCTTCAGAGTCACTTATACAATAATGTCCAAAAAGTGAGTATTGGCTCCAGAGTCACTGATACATTATTGTCCAAAAGATGAGTACTGGCTTCAGAGTCACAGATACATTAATGTCCAAAAGATGAGGATTGGCTTCAGAGTCACAATTACATTAATGTCCAAAGATGAGTACTGGTTTCAGATTCACTGATGCATTAATGTGCAAAAAGTAAGTACTGGCTCCAGAGTCACCAATACATTAATGTCCAAATGAGTACTGGCTTCAGATTCACTGATATATTAATGTCCAAAAGATGAGTACTGGCTCATATAAAATGCAAACCATTCAGTAAAATCATCCAGAACACTTAACTGTCAGTCCAAAAATTGACCACAAAGATTTATTGAGTTGTTGTTCTTAAATGACATTTCAACACCCACCCATCCACACTGGTCACACCAACATATCTTGTATGTGAGAAAGTGACTTTCTTGAAAAGTTTTCCAGTGATTTGGTCAAGGCTTAGAAGTATTGGTATAAGGTAAAAATTTGATGTAATATTTTTAAGTTAAAAAATTTGTAGATACATATTGGTATGTTACCTAGTACTGTATATACTCCTATAAATTTTGATCCCAACTGCAAAATGCACAGATCCTAGTCTGATGTTACATAATGTGCCAGCAGATCAAAGTCTATGCAGTGATCAGTAAAACAGTATAGATCCTGATGTGATAATGCATTATGTAGTGTCCTATCAGGGTCTGTGTTGTCTGCCGATGGACTTATAAATGAGTATAGATGGTAGATAACACCCATTCATTGCATAAGGACTTGTATCTTTTGTAGTTTAGGTCACCTGCAATTAAATTGGTTATTCCTCTGTAGGAATTTCTTTGGTCTTAAAGTTGATTGACAGATGCCACCTGTAGAGTCAGGTGTGGCCTGAATTGAAATTTCTATGAATAATAGTTGGATAAAGAAGAGGTGTTTGAATGAAGAAAAAAAACTACATTGTTTAGCTGAATTACCTAATTTTCTTGCTTGCATGGTGAAGTTCTTGTCTGTGTTGGGGCTTTCTGTTGTTAATGAGAATGTTGGATTGACAATTTTGTTTCTCAAAGAATTATGAGAGGTCAGTTTGTAGCAACTTCCATTCAGATACCATGGCATTGGGATAAATGGAACACAGATTAGCAAGGCTTCACAGTAACATTCTTTAAAAAACTATGGAACTTCATTATCTAATATCAAGAAAATATTTTACCATATATGGAGATTTTCTGTAATGTTAAATTTTCATAAATGTACAATTTTGGAAAATGCCATCTTTTTTTTCTTCTTCTAACCATTGTAATATATTCTCATTTTGCTTCATGGGAGTCACTATGAATCTGAGACAATTCATTCTGTAACATGTTCACTCATCCTTTTGACCTTGGGCTAAAGGTCACAGTCAGAAACTTTGCACTAGGGTTTTGGTTATCAAACTTTCTTTTCTTTATTTGCATAAGTGTCCCAAACTCCTTGATTAATTTTTTTTATACTTTGGATGAATTATCATGAGGCTGATTTATTTTGTTTAGTTTGCAACTTTCACATTCACCCTAATGACCATGGGTGCCAGTTACAATTGTAATAAATTTATGTGAAAGTTTTGGTTAATGATTTTTAATTTGCTTTTAATTCATAAACCTATCAATGGATTTGTAGATGCTTGGAATGAATAACAAATCATTCTGTAACTCACTAACTGCCCTTTTGACTTTTGGGGTCAAGGTCACAGCAATAGAAAAGTTGCATTGAGGTTTTGGTTAATAAGTTTTCATTGGCTTATAATGTGTTTACTAATCTTATTGGTCCATTTTCTTGATAATTGGGATGATTAACTATTAGCCTTAAACAAATTGATTGTGCAATATGCTTCTTTCAACTATACTGTAATTGTGCAAAATTCTGCAGTACATTCAGTTGTGGTCAGTGTGACACATAACCATTAATATTGATATATTAGCCAGGCTTGCTATGGCTCAGCAACTTGCAATAATTAACCTCTCCTGTTTGGAAGCATGAATCAAATTTTAATTAGGACTTGCTTGGCTAATGGTTACAGAGAGATAGAGTGCAATGTTAATGCAAGGTCAATTGTGATAAATGTGAAGAGTTAAGACAAACTAGGGAAACATTTATGAAGTTTTGGGCCATATGAAACAGTTGTCATGAAACTATATTTTCCAGAATAGTCATTAATAAAAGGCCGTCTCCAGAGAATTTTTCTGATTTGGTGTGATTGATAAAGTTATTGCAGTTAAAGAAGTAATCCTGATTAGATAAGTTAAAAGAGGGGATGTGTATTCCCAGATGGAATTCAGACTTTTAAGAAATTCTTCTTGTGAAATTAGTCAGTCTGAAATTAATCTGAGGTGAACAAGAATTTAGCTCTGGGAAATTAAAGATTTCTTATTAAATTATCAAAGGATGTGTGTTGGAAAGTGATGATCATGGAGAGAGAAAGAGAGAGAGAGAGAGAGAGAGAGAGAGAGAGAGAGAGAGAGAGAGAGAGAGAGAGAGAGAGAGAGAGAGAGAGAGAGAGAGAGAGAGAGAGAGAGAGAGAGAGAGAGAGAGAGAGAGAGAGAGAGAGAGAGAGAGAGAGAGAGAGAGAGAGAGAGAGAGAGAGAGAGAGAGAGAGAGAGAGAGAGAGAGAGAGAGAGAGAGAGAGAGAGAGAGAGAGAGAGAGAGAGAGAGAGAGAGAGAGAGAGAGAGAGAGAGAGAGAGAGAGAGAGAGAGAGAGAGAGAGAGAGAGAGAGAGAGAGAGAGAGAGAGAGAGAGAGAGAGAGAGAGAGAGAGAGAGAGATTAGATTTTATAGGGGGGTACATGTCTCAAATAAAGCACAAGGTTAGTCTTGATTGTATGCAGTGCATGTTCATTGATGTAAACTTGTAAAATTTGTTAAATTTATTCATTTTAAATGCATACTTCATTTTTTTCTTGGGTTCAGAATTTAATTGCATGCATTATTTTGTCTTAAATGCTAAATAATTTGTGTATTATATGCATTATTTTGTCTTGAATACTATATTATATGTGTATTATATGAAAGAGTTTGGATTTAGTTGTTTTGTGTGCAGTAGAAATCATAAACAAGAAAAATTTAATTTTTTGTATAGGTATACTGAGAGATGATTTTTCTGTGTTGGGAAATTTATGCCATTGAATTGCTAATTTGCAAAGTAATATGGTGAGCACAGGAGTGAAGTCCATTAGTCAAGTCCATTAATTTATGTGTAATTAAGGGAAGGTTGTTATGCTGTGTAGTCTGTTTAGTTTTGGTGATCATTGTCTGTTTGACTGTGGTATTATTGACTTGATCAAATACTTAATAACATAAAATAATGAAATCAATAAATGGAATAAAGTGATGTGATGTGATTATGATTTTTAATGTAGCTTTAACAATTTTTCAGTCATATCACTACAATGTCTGCAGTGTGGCAGTTTATAGTGATGTCTAGCACTGAGGCATCATGCCGAAGACATGTAGCATAATGTCCCATCCAGTCACATTATCCTGACACCAGGCCGACCAGTCCTAACACTAACCTCTTAATGCTGAATGTCAAGCGAGGAAGCTGTTCGTACCGTTTTTGTAAGTCTTTGGTATGACTCTTCCCGGGATCAAACCTATGACCTTCTGCATCAAAGGCGGATGCTCTAACCACTAGGCCACCGGAGCAGTAGGATGGAATAAAAGAAAGCTGATCAGAGATATAAAATAGAATAACATGGGCCCCTGTATGTAAGATGTAAGAAAAAACAATTTAATCAATTACATAAATAAAAATTACTTGTGATCAAGTCACTTTTCAAGTATAAATACAAAATTGTGTGAATTTCATTTTGGTGTTCTGTCACTGATAGAATAAATTTCATCATATGTTTGAGTGACCGATCAAACTCAGATTTCCAGTCTGACTGCATCACCTACTGCTGCAAGTCTTAAGCCATTTTGGGTGATAAATCTCTTAGATGTAGATTGTACTCTCTTTCTGACTGGTGGGTAGAGTTGTTTTCTTTCCCATGAAAGATAAAATATAGCATCCATCCTAAATGCATACCAGATATCTTATCTCCTGGGATCAAATAAGATTCCCTCTCTATTTTGCATAGGATTCTGTCCATTGAAATCAACAGAACTAGCTAATATCACTAACCTAATTCACAAAATTACTTATTGATATACAGTCCAGTTGATTGTGAATTTGTCTTTTCTAGTGTCCTTGCATTCCTACTGAGAACATGACATAATTAAATATTTCTGATATCATTATTCTGTACTGTGCCCCTTTATTTACCAGCCCACACATTACTCCTGGCTTGATTCTTGGTTAAAGAGATTTCACACTTAATTACACACAAATTAATAGACTTCACTTCTTGTCCTAACCAGGTTAATTTGGTAATTAGCAATTCCTTGACATAGATTATCAGACAAAGGAAAAATCAATCTTCAGTATACTTTATACAAATCATTTAAGACAAACAGATCAACTTTTTGCAATTCGTATTTGGAAAAAATGTATGAAATATTTAGGATACATGATTTCTATTATATACTAAACCTCTAAACTAGAACTCAAAATGACTCATATCTGTACTTATTATTATCTAAACTCAAGTAAAATTGAAGTATGAATTTTATTTTAAAAAATGAATAAATTTAAAAATAATTAAAGACTTACATAAAATTTAAATTCCGTGCAATTGAGACATTAGCTTTATGCCTTTACACCTAGCTCTCTTAACATCAAAAAATTGCCTTTGTCCTTCTCTGGATACAGATCTATTCTAGACCCCATGATGATTTAAAACTTGCAAACACTTTCTGCTTCCCTGGAATCAAGGACTTCCTGCCTTCCTGAAGAAACATAGACTGCTTAATTCTGCGAGGAAACCCCTGAATTCCAAAAGGGAACAAGCCTCCTCATTTAGCTTAGCACATCAGCATTACTACTTTACCCACCAGAATCCAAATAAAATTTCTGTAGAAGTAAAAAAATTCTTCCCAGCCCACATTTATTAATAACTATTTTGGAAAATATCTTATGACACAAGTTTCAAATGGACCACAACTTCCAAAAATTCTTCTCTGGTACATGTGTCACCCAGGTACAGTTTACTGCTATGACTGCATCTTAACATCACACTGTCTGTTCCAACTGCATCTTAACATCACACTGTCTGTTCCAACTGCTAACAAGCAGGTCCTAATTAAAACTCTTCATGCCCTAAGCAGAACTGTTTAATTATTACATTTTACAAAGCTGTACCCATTCTACCCAACACATGAAGCTTAATGATTATGTGTCATGCTGCACTGACCCAAGCAAAATGCACTATTAAGGAATGTACTGTGAAATTTATTTTACAGACTATTTATCTTACAGATTACAAAATTTTTCACCAATAAAGCCATGACAATAAGAGCCATTTTAAGAAGCTTGGGGGCCCTAGGCACAAACTCTAACCTTAAAAGTAACCAGAATTGCACCTCAATCTCTCAGTCTCAAATATAGAGTATTGCATTGCATTTCCATGTGTATATGTGTCATATTGTTAAATTTATTAATATAGTAATAAACTGCTAACACAACACTGCCCAGTAACTTTACAGCATTGTTTTGAAAGGTAAGTCAGATTTCATTATTGGGAACTTTTATGATGTCACCACATTTGACTGGAAAATATTTCACTGAATTTGCTTGTTGTTATGAAGATCCCAGGAATGTGGATATTTAAAGTACAAACATATCGTAGAAATTACTTCTATCACATTGTATAGTGAAATTTATATGCTGTCAGTTGACTTGGATTATGAAAACTTTCACAATACAAAATCATTTTTCTAGTACTTGCAAAATTTAATCCTTGTAATGTTTATAACTGAACATTTGTATCAAGTTTACTAGCATCTCACTGCTTTGGTTGCCTAAGCGGTTAGAGCGTCTGCCTTGTTTGCAGGTGATTGCAGGTTTGAACTTTGACTGATTCTTACCAAAGACATAACCACTCCAGCGGCCTAGTGGTTAGAGCATCCACCTTGGATACAGGAGGTCGTGGATTCGATTCCTGGTTGAGTCATACTAAAGACTTACAAAAATGGTACTAAAAGCTGCCTCGCTTGGCACTCAGCATTAAGAGGTTAGTGTTAGGACTGGTCGGCCTAGTGTCAGGATAATGTGACTGGGTGGGATGTGATACTGTAGTAGCTGTGTGAAACTGTAGTAGTCATGTGTGGGTGGGTGGCAGCTACTTTGGGGAATTAGCTCATAGAGCAAGCAAAACAATGTCTAGGCTACATATTTCTTTAATGGTTACTTTCCACTGGCTCCAAATTCTCACCTCCTATTCAAATACAAAAATCTCAGTACTGTATATATATATATCTTAGTCCTAATGGCCTTCACAGGAGACATAATGATATATTTGTAAAACTGGCTTGATTGTTTCTGGTACACAGAATGTGTGTGTCCTACAGTAAACTAAACATTTGATATGTCAGTCACTAATGAGATGTCCAGAAGTTGATTTGAAAACATGTAAATGGTTATAATATATCTGATCAGACTCACACTCAATTTTTTCAACCTCTCTCTCAAAATATAAATCTTAAATAAATGAAATTTATAGGTAAGGGTTGACAAAGATCCTCAGAATTCAACTATAAAATATCTATTTGTTTCAAAACAATATACAAATTATTCTTGCCAATTAGAGAAACTTAATCTACTATCTTGTCTCTAATATCATCAACATTTCAAAATCCAAAACCAATTAAAGTCTTGTAAATAACCATTTAATTAATTTGCAGAAACACAATGTCTGTTGTTCTCACTAGCTACATGGTGGAGCTAGAGACCCAGTTAAACCAAACGATTAATGTCCCTAAGGCCATGGGGTGAGCTTGCTGTAAAGATTCTACTTGTATTTTTTTTACACTGCAGAAGCAGAACATTTTTTGAAAAGTGGATTCTTTCCAATATGACTATTGTACAAAACCAGAAAATGGAAAACAGTTGAATTATTTCAAATATCCCTAATACAATAAATGTACCACATGTTGATGAGTTCCTTAAATGGATATGATTCCGGGGTTCCACAATATTTAGAGAAATTTTTACTCTGATTTCCTGTTAGCAGTTTCTGCAGAATAACATTACTGAAGATTTTGGGATTCCTTCCAGATTTATAATGTACTTTTACTGTGACAAGATTTTTGTATTTTGTTTTAATTTCTAGAATTCTATTACATTTTCAAGATTTATATTCTCTGTTGTCCAGATTTTCATTTTCTTTGCATTACTGTACCATCAGTTCTTGAATTTCAAACATATTTGGCATGCAACTTTATACTGATTTACAGTGAATGAGTTACATTTTTCAGCAGGTCACATTAATTTTTACTGCTCCAGTGGCCTAGTGGATAGAGCATCTGCCTCAGATGCAGGAGGTCGTGGGTTCCAACCCTGACTGAGTGATATCAAAGAATTATACAAATGGTACTAAAGCTGCCCTGCTAGGTGCTCAGCATTATGAGGTTCAAGTGTTAGGACTGGTCAACATGGTATCAGGATAATGTGACTGGGTGGGACATCATGCTACATGTCTGTGGCATGATGCATCAGTGCTAGACATCACTATAAACTGCCACACTGCAGACATCATTGTGATATGACTAAAAATTGTTAAAAGCTACATTAAAAATCCAAATCACAAACATGCACAGACACACAGACACACACACATTATTTAGAAGAATTACAGGCCATTTTTTCTGATAATCAGTTTCTGCCACATTATTTTACCAGGGGCTGGTTAATTACAACCAGATCTGGAATGCAACTGTATATGAATAAAACATTTAAAGAATTAATTTAATTTTCAGTGCTGAACAACATAATTATAATAGTTACATCCCTGATTTCTGTCATCTGGTTTTATTCTGTATAATAAGTTAAGTAAAGAAGAATCTGTTTTGCACTGTTCTAATAATGAGACTAGGAATGAGTTTAATTTTCGACATTCCATGTCATCATTAAGAAAATATTTGGCCCATGAATTCTCATTCTGTTAATGTATAAAGGGTTTGTTTAGTATACTTATAGCCTTTACACATTTACACAAATTGGTAACTGTGCAAATGAACAGCATTGTATTCCCCTTCTCAAGATCAAAACCACATCTTATTCATTGAGAGTAATTATTATTATTATTATTATTATTATTATTATTATTATTATTATTATTATTATTATTATTATTATTACATGTATTATTTATATTATTATTATTATTACATGTATTATTTATATTATTATTATTATTATTATTATTATTATTATTATTATTATTATTATTACATGTATTATTTATATTATTATTATTATTATTATTATTATTATTACATGTATTATTTATATTATTATTATTATTATTATTATTATTATTATTATTATTATTATTACATGTATTATTTATTTTATTATTATTATTATCACATGTATTATTTATATTATTATTATTATTATTATTATTATTATTATTATTATTATTATTATTATTATTACATGTATTATTTATTTTATTATTATTATTATCACATGTATTATTATTATTATTATTATTATTATTATTATTATTATTATTATTATTACATGTATTATTTATATTATTATTATTATCATCACATGTATTATTTATATTATTATTATTATTATTATTATTATTATTATTATTATTATTATTATTATTAGTATTATTATTATTATTAAATTAATAAATTATGGCAGTAGTTGACTGGCAGTGTTCAGAAGATATTGCATTTCCTTTGTATTCCACATGAAAATTGCAGGAGTTAAGTCCTTGATATGGTCTTGTCATCATTTAAATTGTTTTTCCTTTTTTCATCTTTTTTTAGGAATTTCATAATTTTATTAGCCTTTGTATTTCTTGGCATTCTTTTATGCATCTTTTAGTTTAAATTCCTTTGATGAACTGTGATTTAAGCTTTTTGAAGGTCAGGATCTGTGTGTTCATTAATTTATTAAATGTATTGTTTAAAACTAATGCTTTAACCAGTCACTTCCATTTAGTATTCCTTTGATATTTTTGTCCTTTTGAGAATGGAGTAGGACAGCTAAAATGATAGTATATAGTTCATAGTTTCTCTTCAGCTTTAATTTGGAGCAGTACACATTATGCTTTTATTTGCAGCAATAAACAAAACAAATATCATAAAACTTACAGCTATTAAAACCTGACCATTTCTGCCAAAAAAAAAACACAATCTTCAGAGTCTGTGCACTTTATGTATTGTAACTTTTCAGACAAATGGACAATAATAAACTTATCATGAGACTAAACAAAATTGATCATACCCAACCATTGTCTACAGTGACAATGCAATTCTTGAATGTGTCTTCTAAATTTTATGTCAAAGCATCCATTGAGTGAACACACCACAATACCCAGTACAATAAAAAGATCCTCTTTGTGCATCATTGTGTGATTTTCATGAGCAGGGGCAGGCCCACAAGGTAAAATTTATACATTGGACACAGGTATGTTACCACTTAAAATCACAAAAGAAGATTTGACAAAATAAGCAATTGTTTCCTTTTGTTAGAAATTAAAGTGGGGATCAGTAACTCCATAAAATGCAAGGTGCTTTGAGAAAAGGCCTATAAGTATGTAAAGAATGGTTTGTCACTAGAAAAAAATTTATCTGGCATGGATACAGAACAGTACTGCATTGCACCATTGTAAAACATTTTAAAACACTAAACTTGCAGGAATTATCTGTTCCAAATTAAATGACTTTTATGTCTCTTCATAAGATGACTGCTTATTATTCATGGATATTTTTTAAAATAGAATGCAGCATTTCTTTGAAAATGCTAAAGTTTGATTGAATAATAATAATAATAATAATAATAATAATAATAATAATAATAATAATAATAATAATAATAATAATAATAATACTTTATTTACAGAGGGTGACCTCTTAAGAAGAGTTTAATAATGTGCATTATAAGTGTAATGGGTTATTTAAATGCATCAAAACCCACCTCAATTTATTCGGCATCATTAGCTTGGGAACAATTTCCCATGGTATAATTTCCCAGTGTGGACAGATAGATGGAACGTTACAGATAGCTGAGCAGGGTATTGAAAGAAATAAACAGGGAGCCCCCCCCCCTTGTTTCCCATGTCTAATAACATGCTTGGTTTTCTTTGACCCTCAACTATTTTGTCATCCGTAGATGTAGATTTCCCCTTTAATACCATCAAATTCCTTCCTTATTCCTCCTTCTCTTTTCTCTTGGTCTGATATGAAGCTGTTCCCTTAAACATATAGTATATCTCACGATAGACAAATTCCACAACGGATCTTATAAATATAAACTATATTTCTGTGCTCAAGAGTTAGGGGGTTTACACTGCACAATTCTGACCTAATGTGATCTAACCAATAACTCATCACAGATTCTGTGTTTGCAGTATGATACCGTTAGATTGGTACAAATGACCTTAACTCAAGTTCATTCACCCACGGCCTTCTACAGACAAATATGGCTAGCATACATTACAACATGACTTATTTACATTTGGATGTTCAATGCAGTTTAATGCCTAATTAGCTATGGCATAATATCCATCAAATCTAGCTATCCTAAAGTAACTTGCATGATCATTCAAATATTGTGAACTTTCGTATAAATATACACTTGTAATTAACTCGAAAAAGCAAATATCATCCTACACAGTGAATCAATTCATATCTCCTAAGAAATCTGACACATACATATATTAGTGTGTGTTCATGAAATCCTTGTGGAATTCTACATATCAAATATTTAATTACATGCAATCCATCAATTCTCACAATGAATTGATAATTGAAAAATCAAAGAATTAAATGGCATAAAACTAACATATCAATATAGTTCTATGAATTGAATACATGATACATGCGTGAATCATAACATATCAACATATTTGCAAACAAACCAACAAATGAAATAGAATATTAATTTGGAAACTAAAATTGTGTACCTTACTGTTATTTTCTTTCCAAACAAACAGTGTCCTAACTTATAGTGCATCTTTTTCTAAGACAGCTGTCTGGCCCTTTCCTAATAGTTCAGGAAGAAGCACTACTCTTTAGTGTCTCTGGAGACAATCTAACATCTTTCAAGCAAGGTTCTAGACTAAAGAATTTTTGGCACATGGTAGCCCAAAATTACTTTTCAAACCATATGGCCTTAAATTTCCCTGACCAATCAGAAATAACTTCATAAAATTTCCCTCCATGTCTGTCACCAGTTTCATTAGCCTAAAACATGCTGCAATTAGCTTTCTTTGAAAAATCAATTATTTGATGTGCACCTCTTTTGAACTGATACGGGTCAGAGTATTATTACACATACCCCGTATACTATAAAAAACAACTGGGTCAGATGCTACTGAAGCTTAAACATAATTCCTTTTATGTTCAGATATGAAAAAAAAGAAATAATAATTGAACTTTCTCCAGACCCTTCTGCATCGATTACGTTAACTTGAAAGCACAATTTATTTAACCTTAAGTTTCAGCAAGTTTCAAAATTTGACACATCACAAAAAGAATTATAACAGTAATTGTTGTTCATTTTAATGTTTTGTATTAAAATAGTAAATTCCATTATATAATAGAAACACATGCATACTTATATCTCTTTTTATTTTCATCATATTTTACATATGGTGGAAGCTTATTCTACAGAACTGTACCAGAGTATTAGAAGCATTTATAGATAATGATTATAAAGTTTTCTTTACTACTACATCATTTACTTTTGAAGAAAAAAAACATTTTTGGTAGCAGAACTTTAGTAGGATGTTTAATGAAATTATCGGATATATCAGACTTGTTTTGCAAATTGAATGATGGCTGTCATAACAAAAGGCATATGGCAGTTAAACATTTTCAAGATGAGCAAAGTACAGCATGTCCGATTTATAAGCAAGTATATACAGTAACATTTGATTAGTATTATAAAGTACACTATGTACATTATAATACTATGCAGATGTTACTGTCTATATTGCTTATAAAACAAGTATAACTGCAAACTGCATGAACCCAGATCTGCTGTCCCATTAGAATTTCATCATATGGAGAGTTAACGGAAGTTGGGAACAAATTTAAAATTATCTTCTAGGTTTTCATTTATAATTTCTTGGTATTCCATTGCAACCTTATCAGAACTCAGGGGGAGGCAGCGATTAAGTCTGAGGCAAAGGACAATAAATTAATTACACTGTGGGACAACAAAAATTAAAAATTAAAAAAGTCAAGAGGAGTGTACAATAAATTAATTACTGCTGAAATGTTTATTTTGACTTGTGTGATAAAGCACTGTCAAATTCTGTTTTTAAATGGCAGCAGTGCTTTAATATAGCAGTATGCAGGTTGACTGCTTTGTGTAATATA